CCCTAAACCCGAAACCTGAAACACTAAACCCTAAACCTTAAACCCCTAAACCCTAAGTCCCTAAACCCTAAACCTCTAAAACCTAAGCCCTAAACCCTAAAACCCCAAAGTTCCCCTAGCGTACTGGAGAAGTAATGCCCGCCAAACGACGGTCGACGCAAGGCCGGGCGAGTCAGTTCTTGACTGGGGCCCTCCACTCAGAGCCTTGGGTTTGGGGTTTGGGGGGTTTGGGGTTTTGGGTTTGGGGTTTGGTTCCTTATATTAATTATGGTATAATGGGTCCCAAAACCCTATTCTAATTATTAAGGCCCCTACATTACAGGCATTGGGAGGCGGAATTGCTGGTTTGCGGGTTCAGGGTTTAAGGTGCTTTGGACCTTGCGGTGGGGCGAGTGATGAGGACATGGGCAACAGGGTGTAGGTTCTTGCGAATAGCAGTCTTTAGAATATGATGATGGTGACGATGCTGTTGACGAAGATGGTACAGAGCTGTGGCTACAAGATGATGGTGCGTTTGACCGTCATCATGATGACAGTAGTATTGCTAGGCAGTGTTGTTGCAGCTACTGCCGATATCCCCCAACCGTTGCGGCCGCACGATGGCGAGTGGATTCTCAGGCAGTGGGTGTGGATGGGCGCTTACATGGCTGTGGGCAGCCCAGCTTGGGATTCAGGGTTTAGGCTGTTGCTGTCACACCGGCAAGTTGCTGTTTGTGGGAGTGGGGGCTCCCTGCAGAGTCTCCGGCTAAGGCTTTTGAGTGCAAGAGTGTACGGTCGGACGGAGGCGGAGCGCCGTGTTTTCTGCCATTACGTGCCTTCGGAGTATGGTTAAGTGCGAGTCATCGAAAGTCTCACATTCGGCATTGCTTCAGGCTGGTGTGAGTTTGAGTTTACTCACTGGCACCACAGCTTCCATCTGTGCCCGAACCGTTGATCCGTACCATGGTAAGGGTCGCAGTAATTGCAAGGTCGATGCTCCAGGGTTAGGGTTCAGGTATGTTCAGGTTTTAGTGTGGTGCCACATCTTAAGCTTGTCACATCTTCGTCACCAATGCAAAGGTCGACGATGTACGGCATCAATGGCTATGGCATTGAGGCCAGCCAATCTCTGATTCGAGGTTCATTAACTGAAACTTGCATAGAAACATCCCTATCTGTAGGTTTAACATGCCAGGCAGCCAGTTGAAACAATCTACCCCCTTTCCTTCCAACACAAAGTGTTATCCTTTCAATTCTGTTGAGCAAATGCTTTTCATAACTTCCCGTGCTTAACGTCGAGTCATATTGTCCCATGTGCCGCCACGACCAGAGGCAAATTCAACCAGCATCCGCTGGGTAGGCCATGGTGCCGTGTTACATCTACCCCTGCTGGGATGAAATACATGCTATCTTCTTCACGGGGCTTGAAGGGCTAGTTAGCCTAGATAGACCCGCCCCAACACCACATACCGATTAGATCCCGGAATCTTAAATAGGAGCCCAAAAAGGACATACACATAAGCATTTTATAGGGATATCCCTACCTCTTGGGCTTCATCATAAGGGGGTTTATATGGGATATCCCTATCCTAATTTTTGCTTATGTGCTTTTTCGGGGCCCTAACTAGGGCCCCAAAAAGCACATAAGCAAAAATTAGGATAGGGATATCCCATATAAATCCCCTTAGAATGAAGCCCAATAAGGTAGGATATCCCCAAAAGGTGCTTATGCTTATGTCCTCTTTGGGTTCCTAACACTTTCGGCAGATGCCGTCATGCCTCGGCCGACACCCAGGCTTGCGCCATCGACTGCAGCTCCTGGTTTAGGGTTTAAGGTTTAGGGTGTGTCCCACTAAATCCCCCCAAACTCCGGGCCTCCAAGCATTTATTTCCAAGACACACTGGAACCTTTCTCCTTGGGAGTACTTCGAAATAGTTCATGATAGTTTTGGTTACCAGAATCCCTAAAAGCAGCAGCCAAAATTATGGTTTTTTTTTTGTGAGGGGTCCCAAGTTCAGTATACTGTCTCCTCCAACCCAAATCCATACATGCCCAGCCCTAACGACCTCGGAGCCCAAAGCTCAAACTCCCGAAATCCTGGTGTCTGAACTTAAACCCCAAACGCCTAAGTCCGAAACTTAAACCCTCAACCACGAGCCCCTACACCATAATAGACCCTCAGCCCCGAGACCCTACACCCTAATAGACCCCAAAACCCATAATTGAATCCCACACCCTCAATCCTAGACCCAAAATCCCTGAACCCTAAGCCGTAGTGTCTTCTGCAGGCCACCTCGCAGAACTTTGCTTGGGCGAGTCGCTTCTCTCGAGGACGCCCCATCGGATGGATTTCGTGTTTTTGCCGGTGACTGGTTTCCGGTAGTATAGCCAAGCATAAGATGTTATAGTATAGTACAGTACAGTGAGTATAGCATAGATACCCATCACTCAGCAATTCACACGAAATCGTTTTCTCCCTGCAGATACCTATCTTACACCTCGTCTCTTTTGTATCTAAGATGTGTCGCCTCTTGTTCAACTTGTGGGCGACGAGTCCTGTGGATGTGTTGTGCTGGCTGCCATGAGCACCAGCAAAGCATGAAGCAGATCGCTTCTCTTGCCACTGCCGGGCTCATACACGCGACACCGGCCCCTTACATCCTTTTGCCCGAAAGCCTGCCATCCCCTCAGTTTGCACCTGAAGTGCAGGTAACTACTGCCTCTACGGTGGCACCGACCTAGGCGCGGGAGAAGAAGTTGGGCAAGTGCCTCGTCGGCTGCTTGAGGGGTTGAGGGTTACAGGGTGTATAGGGTCTATAGGGTCTAGAGTTAAGAGTTAAGGATTCTAGGCTTAGGGGTTTAGGATTCAAGATCTTGGATACTGGATCTACGGGCCCATGTCCAGCAGTATCGTATATAATTTTGCATAAAGATCTTAAGCCGGTTCCAATGCTCCTGGCAAACAAGATCGAAGGCAAAAGTTCACACTGTAATACAAGGCTTTACCTTAATTCACTGTCAGTTGCTATATGGTATGGTCGTTAATCCATTGCAACTGGAAGCTTTCTATCAACAATGGGGTTTCACGTGTTTCCGGTTGTGTTCTGCGGGACTGCCCCTTAAACCCTAAACCTATCACACCCAAAACCGACGCCCTACAAAATCTGTCTTCGATGTGGATCGCAGGTTCGCGTCTTCCATGATGGCCCAACGTAGGTTGACATGTTGCGCAACAGTATGTACATAACTTACTTACTAGTTTATATTCCTGACTGGGGAACCAGTTGTTTCGACTTAAGCATTGTGTCAATGACCTCACCCGGACAAGCAGGTCAAGTGGCATGCTTGATTGAACGCACCAGTAGGCAGTAGTCCTGTCGTTGATCCCAATGTGCGTGCAATTACGGTATCGGCCATTGTAACTCGATGTCGATGCTAAATGCATAGAGTCTATAGAGTGTTTGCCCAGTTTCCTTCAGCAGCTAATGGTCGGGCAACATGCCACGCAAGCGTGGCACCGCGACATGTTCCTGCGGGTGCGGGCGCTGTCACTTTGCGTTTCTTGCGGTGCTCCTGCTGGTCGTGCTTTCCGTCAGCACGCTGCGCTTCATGGTACTGGTAGATACTGAGGATCGACACGTCCGCAGCTTGTCCGCAGGACGTCCCAGCAGATCGGATCGCCGCCGCCGCCCTTCTAAAACGGCCCAGGACGGCCCTGCATTGCCCCTACAACGCAAGACCAGGGACCACGGCGAGCCCAGTGTTCCTTCGTATCCCAGCCTCAGCAAAAGTGCCGGTCTTGGTGCTGCCATGTCTGATTCCGTCTCTGCAGCTTCGACTGGACCAACCTCCCGCTCCACGACTGCCTGCAGCATGGAGCTTCTAAGCACCGAGTTGGCACCTGGCTTGCGCAGCACTACATGCTCCGCGCGGGCCCGAGAACACGTGGCTCCCCTTTTCGTGGCGGTGACCTCGCCTATTGGCAACTTCAAGCTCCGAGCAGCTCTGAGGAGTGGGCATTGGTTGATGAAAGGCTTTCCCATATCATCCCGTGCCTCTTACATGTTCTTCGTGGGAAGCAGCCCTGATCAGAAGGTGCAGGAAAGGCTGGAACAGGAGATGCGCGGACATGCTGACATCGTGCAGTTCGATTTTGCAGATCGTTTCACAAACTTGGCAGTGAAGTCCGTCGGCGCCGCCGCGTGGGTGCACGCACACTTGAATGTTGACAAAGTGCAGTATGTGCTTAAGGTTGAGGATTACATGACGAACAGCTTCGCCAAGATTGATGAGGCCGTCAAACGGTTGCAGTTGCAGGTTCACGGGGACCAACAACCCTATTACGGAGGAGGCATGATTTTCGGTGGCACGCCAGTGGTTCGAGATGGACGGTGGGGCTGTCCCAAGAGGCATTGTCCATACGAGACTTACCCGGTCGAGTATGCTGGGGGGCAGTACTTGCTCAGCCGATCTGCAGTGAAGATTTTGGCAGAAAAGGCACTACCGGCACTGGATCTCAGCGACCCCTACCCAATTGAAGATCATTATGTCGCGAGCTTTTTGGCAGAATCCGGCGTTCATGTGGTAAACGATCCCAAGTTGATGTGGGCAGGTGGAAAGCCCTATGGTGCTCCATCCATCGTTGCTGACGACTTTCTCTTATGCTTGGACACGGAAGATCGGCCTGAGACGACGGACGGTGAGGCCGGGGCCTGGGAAGGAAGCACTTTGGTCATGCTGCCCGAGGAGAGGGCCAGGAAGGCCTGGTATGGCGATCCCTCGCATCCCTGGTCCAAAGACCATGGTAAGGATGTTACTTAGCTCTCCAATACCCAACCTTTAAGCTTTTTGGGGCTCTTATAGTTTAGTAGAAACCTGAAAGTTTAACCCTTTTTTTTTTCCTGGCTCATTGGGGAAGTAAGGTTACAGACTCCGTCCTAGAGAGTCTACGTGAAAAGCAGCAGGTGAGGGCTTGGGATGCCAGCTGGGGGGACCCAGCCCCCGGTGTGCGGAAAGTTCTCTTGCTTCGTTTGGATATATAATATAATATAATATAATATAATATAATATAATATAATATAACATAATATAGTATAACAATAATAATAATGATAATAATAATAGTAATAGCGACCTAGTAACTGTAACTGCAGCTCGTCTGCGAGATGCGTCGACATGGCGGCTACAAGCAACAACTTGCGCTTTGGCTTTTGCTTTCTGGCTGCGGTGAGACGGAGAGGTGTCCGAGAATGAATGTGCTTGGAAGCATGCAGCAGCTTGGCGAGCACAAGCGTTTGCTCTGCCCGAGAGCACAACCTTGACGGTGTGGCTATGGAGTTGCGTGCATCTGAGATTCTCTGCGGGACGACGTGGCGCGCAGAGCCTGCTCTTGAGATGTTCGGGAAGCCGCTGGAAACCCTTACAATGAGCGCGATACAACTACGGATCCTTCAAGTCTGTTCACTCTTCTGTCGATGGTTTTCGGTGGCACAGCGACCGAAAGCAACGAGGTTAAGTGTTCTGGCTTCAGGGCTTCTTGCATCTTCGAACTCCTCACCCAACGACTCACGCAGTATTCAATCCTATATTGAATCAGTTTGAAGCTGTGGCCCTCCGACCACTCCCAATCTGGACATGCTTGTATCTGATCTACATGTCAGAATGCTTTGTAGATAAAACCAGCATCTGTGGATGTCTACTTTTGCATGCTTGCTCGTTTACTTGTTGGTGTGGTTATGCATGTACAGTGAGAACATGTATATCTTCATGCACCTTCCTTCCATCCACCCAGCCAGCCATCCATCCATCCATGAATCTCTGCTTGCGGCATCCATGCAGGCAGCATGCATACATGCACGCATGTACTTACCTACCTACCTAGATACACACAGAAGTACATACATACATACATACATGCATGCATACATACATACATACATACATACATACATACATACATACATACATACATACACACATATATATATATATACACACATGCACACGTACACACATACATGCATTACATCACATGACACTGCATTACATTACATCGCATGGCATTGCATGGCATTGCATTGCATTGCATTGCATTGCATTGCATTGCATTGCATTGCATTGCATGCATACATACATACATACGTACATGCATGCATACACACATACATTCATTCATACAGACATACGCTACAGACATGCATACGCCGATTGGTGTGCCCGTATTTAGTTGCATGTTTCCTCGTGTGTATACAGTCATTCGACAACGCGACAGCGAGTTGAAAGGGGAGAGGAAGTGAACAAGGAGTCACGGAGACAACAATTCTCTTGTGCGTTTGCGGCCGGGAGCTTTCTAACAAGAGGCACTGACAAGTCAGGAGTTAGATTTATTGTGACCGGGTCCGAGGCGTCAGGGCATGCGTATCGGTTGCAAGCGCAATGAACTTTCGTAGTGCTTGTGATCCCTAGGACTCCAAGTATTCACACAGTACCTACTTTGGGTCTAAAGTTTGTAAATAGGGCCTACTTTGGGCTATGTGGAGCCCCAGGGGAGTTTAAGAAACACCCTTAACCCCACGGCCACGTCTTGGGCTTGGTATTCTGCCAATTTTCTGTGGAGGCTGGATTCCAGACGAGTCTTTTGACGCGGTGACGTCCTACTGGGCCGCATCCTCAGCATCGGAGGCTACAGCCTGAATTAGAAGCCAAACGTACATGCACAGCCTGAGGGGTTTAGGGTTTAGGGTTATCTACCTCAAAGGCATGAGTGTTTGGGCTTATGTCGGATGGGGGGATGCAAAAACTCGCCACCATACCGTTAGAGTTGAAAACTGACTTGCTGGATTTGCAGTGTCAGTAGAGTCCAGTTCCTGTCAAGGTCCTGTACCACTACAACGTCTCCGTGCAATGCCGTGCTCTCATGGGACTGATTGCACTGTTCCGAAAGTTTGTAGGACAGATTTGCGATTTGAAATCATGGGTCATTAGGCCTTAATTCAACACAAGGGTTCCCATCTTCTCAAACCGCATCTCGAACAAAGCACCCGCGAATCCCGAATCGATTCAGTCGGATCCCAAAGTGTATAGACTATGGTCCGGCTTTTCTGTGTTTCGTAGACAAATCCCCTCAGAAGAAGACAACGATAGACTCGAAGTTTGGCCCCATGCCGGAGAATTCTCACACGGTCAGGGCATTAGGGTTTGAATCCTAAATCCCTTTTCCAAAGCTTCGGAGTTCTGAGATTTCTACGATTGCCGCTTTGAGGGTTAGGGTTCTAGGGTTTAGGTAGGGCTTTAGGGTTTAGGGCTTTAGGGCTTTAGGGTTCTGGGTTCAGGGTTCTAGGGTTTTGGGTCTAGGGTGAAGACGTTTTCCTGCCTCCCTCCTCCTCCTCCTCCTCCTCTGCGCACGTCGCTGCTTCCCGATCCTGTTTCTGCCAAACCCTAAGGGTCCATGTACCCAAATAGTAGGACATTGGCCCTAAAGTACCCATATAGGGACTACATTGAGGCCTATGTTCTACTATCTGGGTACATGGACCCTTAGGGAAACTTACACGCCTTGCAAGGCAGAGTCATCCAACAGCTGGTCCGCAAGCCGACTACCTGGATGCTTTTGTTGAGAGGGGCGTCAGGGTTTAATGGTTTCGTGGAACCCTAAACCCTAAAACCTATACCCTATAAACCCTAAACCCTATAAGCCCTAAACCCTATAAACCCTAAACCCTATAAACCCTAAACCCTAAACC